AAATCTGGCGGGTTGAATCGGTTCCGGGCCGGGCCCCACATATTCTTCTTCTTCCTCGTTGGCTCAAAAACCCAGAACCCGGATCGGACCCGGCCCGGCCCGTCGGGTTTTTTTTGACCGAAGAGGCCCGGGACCGACCCTCTAGATGTCCGGTTCCGGTTCGAAAACCGGCTTTTCCGGTTCGGGTCCGGTTTGGGCCGGGCCGGGTTCGGGCTGAATTCGGGCCGATTCGACCCGTGGCCATATCTAGATGTTGGTAGTTATAATTAGACAATAATTGATTAGACAAAATCGGTCAGGCCTTTTTCAAAATTATGTATGAGAAAATTATGTATGAGAAAATTATGTATGTGAAATTATGTATGAGAAAATTAATTGATCCGTGATGAAGGCCGACGTTGACTGGGGGATTCGTAATGAATATCGGTCAGGCCTTTTTCAAAATCTGCTACTTGCGTGGGATTTGGGATTTCGAAAGATACTTGTTAAAGTAGACAATCAAAGTGTGGTGCCCATGGCGAATGGGGGCTTAACGGAGAACCTTGGAATTCATGGAAGTTTAGCCAGTGCCATTCGTGATCAATGGCCGAGTGGTTGTCAGCGTTTATCAGACCCACATTCGATGGTTACCTCATGGTTACAGCATGATCTTATTGGAGTTGTTACGCATAACTGTCAAAGGACCCTAGGCTTTTGCCTCCTTCGTTTGTACCAAAAAAAAAAATTAAGTTGAAAGAAATAGTTTGTAAATATTTTTTGTTTGATAATATATAATAATAATAATAATAATAATAATTACTTTTTATTTAATTACTTTAAAATACTTTTTAAATATATCAAACACATTTTTATTTAAAATATTAATAAGATAAATTTTTTATTAAACAAACCAAACCAATAAAAAATAGAATCATGTTACATGTACCCCTTGATGTACCACTTGGTTTACCTTCAAGGGGTACATGTACTCATTTACCCTTAATGAATAATTTAGTTCTAGGGGTACATGTACCCATTTACCCTTAATAAATCACCCCTATATATAATTCCCGAATGCGCTGAGCCTACATGGCTGCTTCTGGTGCTTCGGAATCCTACTTGGCGAAGAATCATGCTTCGTAATTAGGTTTGGAAAAATAATATTGATATATTAATAATTAATAATCTAGGTTCGGACATTCTATAAATAATATATAGCTAACTTAGGTATTTAATATCACTTGTACTAATATAACCTTTTATTTTTTTGTAATTATACATAGTGGGACACTAAGTGACTAATATATCCCTGATTTTTTATTTTTTTCCTTCAATTAGCTATAGAATTGTAAATTTATTTTAAAAAGTTGATAACTTTTTTATTTCTTATCGGTTTTACATATATAATATATCAAATTAATCATCTTTTGACGATCTTCGATTTGACATCCATATTGTATATATAGGGGTGAGCAAAACCGAGCCGAAACCGAAAAACCGAATCGAACCGATGTATTCGGTGTGGTGCGGTTCGTTTTTTTAGGTTCGGTTTTCGTTGCAGTTAAACTTTTGGAAACCCGGACAAGTTTCG